AATAATTTAAAAAACAACAAACAAAAGAGGCACAAAACAGAAAAAAATGAGATAATATTTTGTGGTAATGTAAGAGAATGTCCTTGTTCTTATCAGATGTGTTCTAAAGTAAATAGGGGTGAGGTGTTATGATATCCATTTTCACATGGTTCAGCAAAATGAAAGAACAAGGCAGAGTGTGTGCTTGAACACCTTAGTCTGATCCTATAACCTAGAAAACAAAGAAAGATGAAACAAATGTGCTTAGTAGCAGCCATGAGTGAATCTAGAATGACGATTAGTGAATCTATGGATGATGTTAACTGCACTATTCTTTCAATTTTTCTGAAGAGTATACATTTTAGAAATAAACAAAAGCTTTTAAGTAAGAAAAGAACCTTAGAACAGAAGCTCCATGAGGGAAGGGGTGTTTGTTTTCTCACTCACAGAGGCCAGTTGGATCCGTACTTGTACTTGGCACCTTGAATCAACAGGTGCTAAATAAAAACAAACTGAACAGCAGGCCGGCACTGGGGCGGGGCCTGGCAGCCTGGAGTCAGTGGCCAGCAGAGGACTGTGCGCATCAGCAGGTTTCACAGGAGCCACAGGAATGCCGCACAACGAGGCTCATCTCACAGCTGCATCCGTTTTTGGTGCTGCCAGCTAGGCAGAAGGCTGGGGAAAGGAGAGGCTTGCCCAGCCAGAACGGCTCACCCATGACCTTGCTTTCTCGCCCCAGTCTAATTGGAAATCGCATGAAGACATTTCTGATGAGAGCCTAAAAATGGAGGCACCGTCAGGTCTTCCCGGCTCAGCCACTCGCCGCATCCAGGGGAGAAATGAGTAGTCCTTCAACCGCGGGTACATGACATCCATCAGCCCCCACTTCATATCGTGATGACCTTGGTGGAAATAAGAGCTTCATGATAAGGCCAAAGCCAGCTTTTCTTTGTTTTCACCTCCTTCAACGCCAGCAATACATTATTACATTGTTGTGGATTCCAAGATTCTAAGATTCTAACAGTTGATGCCTTCATTCTCAAATTCCAGGGCCAATGAAATTTCTTTAGAAATTACTAAAATGATGGGCATTCTCCTCCCATGCAATTAACTGCCTCTGAAAACCTGCTGTGGGGTCAGCTATAGGTTGGTTCTAACTCAATGACACACAACAACAACAACAACAACATCAAACGACGATTAAGGTAACGGGAAGCCCTGGGAGGTTGCTGAAGCAGGTGGGCACCAGATCAAGGAGCTAAAGCACGAAATAACCCCTGTAGTGGCACAACTGAAGGTCAGAGAGCTAAAGGTTTTCCCGTCTATCTTTAAGGAAATGCAGCCAGGGTGCTCCTTAGAGGCAAGGATGGTGAAACTTTGCCTCGCACAGGTTGGGCTCCTTATCAGAAGGGGCCAGGCCGGAGAAAGACATAGTGCTGGGAAAGGTGAAGGGTCAGAGAAAGAGAGGATGACCCTCAACGAAATGGATTGACACAGCATCTGCAACAATGGCCTTGAACATGGCCGATACTGTGAGGGCAGTACAGGATAGGTTCAGGTCAGGAGCCAAGCTATACTGTACAACACTTAACAATAACCTTTTGGTCCCCTTTTTCTTCATTCCTTTCTCTTCTCTTTCCTTCCCTCCCTCCTCCCCTCCTTACCTCGCTCCCTCCTTTCCTCTCTTCCTCTCTCTCCTTCCCTCCCTCCTTTCCTCTTTCTCCCTCTTTCCTTCTTTTCTCTTTCCATTTCTCTATTTCTCTACTTCTCAACTTCTTATTCTCTCTTTCCTTTTCTTCTTCTTATTTTTTTTTCTTTCTCTTTCTATCTTTTCCCCTTTCCACAATAGAAAAACACAACTACCACAGCAATTGAGGCTAAAGGACTGGTTCGCATGCTCCTGCCTTCTGGTAACAGTCATGTCCCTTTTAATAGTGACTTTCTGAGCAAGAAGCTGTTAGCCTTTTAAGTAGAGAAATCCTCCCAGGCATGTCATCGACTTGACTTCCTGTGTAGACCTGCAAGGGAGGTGAGCCTGCCTACCTCTCCCACTTGCCAGGAGCCTGCCATAGTTTCTAAGCCAAATTCACATACGAAAGGGAAGAGCTTGTTTGGAAAAACAGATTCTTATGTTGCCAATGCAAGAAGTTCTTTTAAAAAGGGGGAGAAAGGACAACCTCTCCAAGATCTTTGCTTTCCTTTGGAGCCAAGGGTCTCAGGTTTCACAAAGAAGTTTATGGAGCAGACTGACGCCTCTGGGCTTGGAATCTGCTCAGGACTAAGAGTGTGAAGAGGGACAAGCACCCTTCCTTCTGGCTTTGTGCAGGAGGTGGGGTGGGAGTGGCAGGATTGTTTAACAGAGGATGAAAACGTCCTCTTTCTGAAAGTAAGGGTTGGCAAGGAAATGACCACTGAAGGCACAACAAAACAGTTCCCTAAGGAGTCAACTTGAATTAGTAGCAGATCAGAACACTAAGCTGGGCAGATCGTGCTGGGCAGGGGAATTGGAGGGGACAGTGTCCACAGCGACTGTCATGCTTCTTGCTTTCAAAGGGCAGTTGTCCTTGCTTCTAGGTAAATTACGTGCTGGAAAAGGAAAGAAAAGGGAGAAACTGAATGTTAGAAATAAGACTTTAAAAATAAAAGGAAGGTTCAGTTTGAACATAGAGTTTCCCCAACTCTACCACTTATCTCAGAGCTGCAAGTTCTGGGAGTCCTTTTCAAACCTCAGCTGGAAGTGTAGAGATGGTGTGGGTTGAGTTTCTGGTGCTCTTCCATATTTGGTGACTTGGGAGCCACATACCCTCCTCACATATCTTGCATAAGAACCTCTGGCTGATCAGCAGAAGCCCAGGCTGCCGAGTTTTCAGAGCCCAAACTTGGCTGTTCCTTATCTCATGTCTTCACAGTAGAAGCTCAAGGCCCACCCTAGAAAGCTCCGGATGTGCCGCAATCCATGGCCTGCCACTCGACCTCTCTTTAATGACAAGCAGATAACATAGCTCACATGCCATGCCTTCCCTTTTCCTGTACATTAGCAACACCCTGTGCTGAACAGGAAATGGACCACAAACCAACAGAGAGGAACTCTTCATACAGACATTGTTAAAATTCTGCCATAAACCTAGCGCTGTGGAAAGTTCTGTCTCTTCTTGTTTCAGTTAATTCCTTCAATCTCCCTGGGATTTTACTGATGCATTTCACAGATACATGGAGAGATTAAGTAAATATCTAAGGGCCAGGGCAAGTGTAAACCCAGTATTGTCTCCAAGCCCAGAGCACGTTCTTCACAGTGAAACTACTTTGTGGACTAAATGAAGCTCATCAACAATAAATATGATCCGACCGGTCAACATTGCCAAGACACTTTACCAAGTTTTGGCATCTGTTAACTTCAAAAGCAGCATTTTTTTTCTTCAAGGCATGGTATCAAAAAGGTGCACTTCTGTTGTTTCTCAACATCACCATGGTTACATGTAACCACACCTCACCTGTAGCTTAACAAACACTATCCAAAAAAGGAAAAGGAGTGGAAATCATCACTGAAGGAATCAGCTGATGAATAGGTACAAAACACTAAATAAAGGGACAGGAATATGTCCAAGTTAATATGAATTATTATAAACAAATATTTTAAATAACTTCTTTGAAAAGAAATACTCATATGGGAAGTGAAACAACAAAAATCTAGCTCATCATTGTTCATAAGGAGCACATAACAGAATGATACTGAGAGGTTGAAAAGAATTGAAAGGACAAAGACACAGCATGTAAATGCTACCAAAATACCAAAAAAGGGGCAAGATTAGTACCAGAAAAATAAAATTAAAAGCAAAAAGCATTAAATTAATGAAGGAGGAAAGGAAGGTTTAATTCAATGAGAAGTTATAATAACTAATTAAATTTTATGCAACAAATGACACAGTATTAAATTATTCAAAGACTTACTCTGTGTATTTACGTGTGTCAAGAATAGATAAACATAAAAGTACTGCATGGGCCTGATAGGAATTTACTATTTCTTCTAGTGGATATATTCTGGTGGATAATTTGTCTGCAGGATTCTTAAAGAGGTAAGCATAAGTTCTTGGTTGTGAATTGAAAATAATTTCAGGGAGAAGTTCTTTATCTAGTATAAGTATTTAATAGTAGGGAAGCATTGCTGTTGTCATTCTTAGGTGACACTAAGTTTGTTTCTAATTATACTCTGTGCACAATAGAAGAGAGTTCTGGTGGCCAGCTGCAGTCTTAAATAAGGATTGAAGCTCAAGATCAAGAAAACAAAGATTCTCACCACTGGGCCAACTGGCAGCATCAAGATAGATGGTGAAGAGATTGAGATTGTTCAGAGCTTCAGTTTACTTGGCTCCACAGTCAACACTCTTGGTACCAGCAGCCAGAAAATAAAAAGGTGAATTGCATTGGGAAAGTCTGCTGTCAGGGACCTCTCCAGAGTACTTGAAAAGCAACAATGTCAGTTTGGAGACTAAGGAGTGCCTGATCCAGGCCATGGTCTTCACAATTACTTGATATGCATCAGAGAGCTGGGCAATGACTAGGGATGACAGAAGGAGAATTGATACCTTTGAACTGTGGTGCTGGAGGAGAGTATTGAATATATTAAGGACAGCTAGGAGAACAAACAAGTTCGTACTAAAGAGAGTGAAACCAGACTACTTCTTGGAGGCAAGGATGCTGAAGCTTCATCTGACCTACTTTGGGCATGTCGTAAGGAGGGACCAGTCCTTGGAGAGGGATGTCATAATTAGAAGGGTGGAGGGACAGCACAAGAGAGGATGACCTCTGATGAGATGAATTGACTCAGAGAATGGAGTAATGGGGGTAGATGTGTCAGAGAAAATAATGTTGGCTCAAGATAGAGCAGGGTTCAGAGCTGTTGTCTATAGGGGTTGCTATGAATCGCTGACTACTCAACAGCACATAACAATAACAGCAAAAACTGGTGGCCTAGTAGCAAGAAGCTGAGCTGTAGTCCCGAAGACTCGGAGTTCAAGTCCACCAGCTGCTCTGTAGGAGAAGGATGGGCAATCACTTTCCCTGCGATTAACTGCCTCTGAACACCTGTCAGAGGGTCAGCTATGGGTCGGTTCCAACTCAATGGTACACAACAACAACATGTACAATAGAAGGCCCAGCACCATGATCACAATCTTTGCTACTTTTGAGCCCCTTGTTGCAGCCACTGTGTTAATTAATCTCATCAAAAATCTTCCTTTTTCACTGATTGCCACTTTATCAAGCATGATGGTCTTCTCCTGGGTCTGGTCACACCTCAGAGGATGTTCAAAGTATATGTGACTAAGTCTCACTCTCCTTACTTCTAAGGCTATATTTTTTCAAGGCAAATTAATTATTCTTTTGGAAGTCCATTCATTACTCTTTGCCAACACAATTCACAGGCATAGATTTTTCTTGGTCTTCTTTATTTATTGTCCAGCCTTCACATGCATATAGGACAACTGAAAATATCATGGCCTGTACAAGTGTACCTTAGTCTTCACTTTTTAATACTTTCAAGAGATCTTTGCCCAATGTACATAATTTTTTTAAAAAATTTTATTATGTGTGTGTGTGTGTACCATCAAATCAGATCTGACTGGTACAGGAGGAGATTGTCCCTCCTTCCTCAGCAGAGCATCTGGTGGATTCGAACCGTGCGCCTCTGAGATTACAATGCAGCTTCTTGCCACTAGGCAACCAGAGCTCCCCTTAATTTTGTTTTTTATATGAACCCAATAAAAATTAAATCCTTAACATATCATTCCCCCCTCCCCCACACACACTGCTTATCATAATGTTGCTTATTGGCCAAATTGTGAGGATTTGTGTCCCTTCTTTGTTGAGGTGTGATTCATGTTGCAAATGCTGGTACCATACATATGTATGGCAAAAGAACACAACTTGATCCACAAAATTAGCCGATTTTCAACCACATAGCATTCCCTTGTTCTGTTGGAACAACTACAGATACCATATGCATACAATTAAGTCTTCTGGAATTCTTAGTCTTCATAGTTATTCAGAATTTGTTATGATTCACATTTTCACATTTCCTTTGTGTAGTCAATAAGACATGCCTAAAAAATCTTTCTGGTATTCTCTGGTTTCAATGACGATACATCTGACATCACTAATGATATCCCTAATTCCACATTCTCTTCTGAATCAAGTTTGAATTTATAACACATACTTTTTGATATGTTGCTCCAAATTTTAAAAATTGTCTTCAGCAAAATTTTACTTGCATAACATGTTCAACAGTTTCTGTGTTCTGTTTGATCACCTTTTCTTTGTATGGGCACAAATAGGAATTTTCTTCCCATCATTTGGCCAGGTAGATTTCAAGTATCTTGGCATAGATTAGTGAGAGCTTTCACCTTACATTCGTTTGTTAAAATATTTCAGTGGATTTGCCATCAGTTCCTGCAGCCTTATTTTTGCCCAATGCCCTTGGTGCATCTTTGATTTCTTCTTTAAGACCATTGGTTCTTGATTTTATGCTACATCTTGAAATGGTTGAATGTTGACTCATTCTTTATAGTACAACAACTCTGTATATTCTTTTCATCTTCTTATGATGTTTTGGACACCATTTAGTACTTTTCCCCCATAGAATACTTCACTATTGTGACCCAAGTCTTGATTTTTTTTTTCTGCATCTTTCATCTTGAGAAATACTGAGCATGTTCTTTTTTTCAGTTGTCAAACTCCAGGTCTTTGCACATCCCATTAGACTATGTCTTCTTTAGGTGCCTTTGAAACCTGTTAAGTTCTTTGATTTCATCATTTCTCCCACTTGTTTTGCTGTTCTACACACAAGAGTAAGTTTGAAAATCTCTTCTGACATCCATTTTGACTTTTTCTTTCTTTCCTAACTTTTTTGCTTTCTTCATCTATGATATCCTTGATGTCCTTGCACGATTCCCCTAGTCTTCAATCATGAGTATTTAATGTGTCAAATCTCTTCCTCAGATGATCTTTAATTAAGATGGGCTATACTGTCAAGGACATTGTGACTCACACAAACTTGTTTTCCTTTTCTTCAGATTTGACTGAAATTTTCAACTTAGAATTTGATAGTCAGTTTTGTAGTTGGCCCTTAGCCTTGCTCTGACTGATTTCATTGACCTTCTTCATTATCTCTTTCCATAGATTTGATTCTTGTGCTTCTCATCTGATGAGGTCCACATGTGTAGTCACTGTTTCTATTGTAGGGAGGGTGGGAAAGGTATTTACAATGAATTGGTCACTTGTCTTGCAAAATTCTATCATGAGATCTCCATAGTTATTCCTGTCTCTAAGGCCATATTTTCCCAACTAGTCATCCCAACTTTACATTCTAATGACCAGTAATTATCAATAGAATTTTATTGCATGTTTCATCAATTTTAGGCTTCAGATATTGGTAAAACTATCCCATTTCTTCCTTTTTGACATTATTGGTTGGTGTATAAATTTTAATAATATTCACATTGACTAGCCTTGCTTGTGGACATTGTCTTTTCACTGAAAGCATTATAATTCAGGATAGAATTTGAAATGTTATTTTATATGATGGCCATTCTTTGATTTGCTATTCCCAGAATAATAAACCATATGCTTAGACAATTAAAAATGGCCAACACTGGTCTATTTCCACTCATGACTGCCTAGGATATCAATCTTTATGCATTCCATTTCATTTTTTACAAATTTCCTTTTTCCTTGAGTCATACTTTCTACATTTCACATTTGGGTTATTAATGGATGTTTGCAGCTGTTATTTTGATTCATGTCCTATCAGCATGAATTAAAAAAAAAAACAAAAACTCAAACTCTACTCCATTAGTGTAATTAAGACCAATTCTAGTTTGATAAGGCAGCTTTCTCTAGTCAAATTTTTAATGTCTTCCACCCTGAGGCCTTACCAGAATATGATAACAACATTCCACTGCTATTTGTAAGGTTTTCCCTATGGGAAGCCAAACTTTATACCAAATATTATTATGAAAACCCTCGTTCAGGGAATTGCAGATTTATAAGTTAGGATTTCTCTTGTGGCAGATCCCAGAAAATGAGCTGTTTGTTTCCTGCAGACAGGAGACAACTAGGGCCCTCCTACAGAGTGTTACTTCCTGGGAAATACTTCCTGAGCTACAGCATTAGGCTGACAATAGAGAAAAATAGAGCCTTCATTTACAAGGAATTCCTTTTGTTATTTGCTTCCCCAGATTATCAGTAAATACACAGAGAAACATGACTTGGGGTCTTCAGTCGAGAACTACTGACCCCCTGTTTTATGCTCTCTGCTCTACCACATTCCTGGCTGTTTGTCTCTTTATTAATAATTATAAAATTATTCCAGTCTTTAGGACCCTCGGTCTGCAACATTCCCTTGCCTTTTTTTTTTCAGAAGTAAATCCCTACATCCTCCTTCCTAGTCTGTCTTGTCTAGGAGTTCTGCTGAAAACGGCCCACCGTTAAGTGACCCTGCTGATATTTCAAACACTAGTTTGTCACAGCTCCTGGCATCACAGCAACATCATACAAAGCACCGTAGTATGACAAGCTGGCAGAGGAGAAGGGGCTATAGCAAACACTGTGAAAACTGCACCTCATCCTAGGGAAAAACTAAAGGCACCCAAGATTCTTGGAGACACTTTTCAAGACATCTGAAAGTGCTCAAGATGCTTGCTAATGAGGGTGATGTGTTCATAAATTGCTCCTAATTAACTCATTTCACCACCAGAAAATTATATATCAATCAAACTTTAGAAGATTAATAGTTAAAACTCTTCCACGCCTTTGGACGTGGAGTCAGGAAAGACGTTTGTGCCAGAAAATTAAGCCTAGAAATGGAAATAGAGGCAGAAAGAAAACCAATTACTTCTTTTCAACTCACATTGTGCTATATTTTCGTGTGAGAAGGTAACTTAAGAGTTTCTTACAAGTGGCATGGGTTGGCAGTGCAACTCCTAAAGTGACGCTATAGCATTGATTCTAGTGATTCTGATTCACAACAAACCCATGTGTCACAAAGGGAACCACCCAGAATTTTTCTTTTCTGTAATCTTCATGGGAGCCAATCACTAGGTCTTTCTTCCATGGTGCTGCTATTTGGATTTGAACAATCAAGCTTTCAGTTTATGGTGAAGCCCAAGCCAATTGTGCCAAGGCACATTATAGCTTTAAATCAGGAAAGGGGTCTATCCAGATTGGATTATTTCTCCACACCTATCCAATCTGTACGCTGAACAAACCATTAGAGAAACTGGGCTATATGAAGAACAATTTACCATTAGGATTGGAGGAAGATTCATCAATAATCTGTGTTAAACAGATGACACCACCTTCCTTGCTGAAAGTGAAGAAGGCTTGAAGCACTTACTGAAGAAGATCAAAGACTATATAGCCTTCAGTATGGATTACATCTCAATTTCAAGAGGATAACAATCTTTACCATGGGACCAAAAGGCAACTTCATGATAAATGGAGAAAATATTGAAGTCAACAATTTTACTTGAATCTACAATTAACACCCAAGGAAGCAGCAGTCAAGAAATCAAACTATGTAGTGCTCTGGTGTTGTCCAAGACCTCAGTGAAGTATTAAAGAGCAAATATGTCAATTTAAAAGCTAAGGTACTCCTGACTCAAGCTTTGGTCTTTTAAAGTCCTTCATATGAATGTGAAAGTTGAACAATGAACAAGGAAAAGTGAATAATTGATTCATTTGCATTGTGGTATTGGCAAAGAATACTGAATTCTTCTTCTGTCATCTTTATTCATTGTCCAGTTCTGAGATGCATAGCAAATGACTGAAAAGACCATGGCCTGAATCAGGCACACCTTAGTCCTTAAACTATTATCATCGCTCCTTAATAATTTGGAGAGGTGCCTGACTACCGACTTTTGCAATATGTCTCCTGATCTCCTAACTGCTGGTACCAAGTGTACTGATTGTGGATCCAAATCAGGTGAAGTCATTGACAGTTTCAGTATCTTCTCCCTGTATTATAATGCTGCCTATCAGTCTACTAGTGATAATTTTTGTTTCCTGCACATTGACCCAGAGACTAAATATATCTCTATATTTTCGATATACATATACTTTTATTATTATTCTATTCTTCTTAAGAGCTGTGTGGTTATAATTCATGTGGATCTCTTTCTATCCCTGCCTCCTCATTCTTTGCCTTCTTTTTTCTTTTTCCCCTTTCTGATCTCTCTAGCCTGGTCTCTCTGTTTCACTTCCCATGTGGCTGAAGGTAGAGGATCTATTGTCCCTGCGTGTTTCTCCCTGTTGGACCTGTGTTTCAGTTTCTCACTGGTTGTCTGTCCTTTCATTCCCTCCCCATCTCCCTTTCTTCCTCTGTCCTTCACTCTGGCTGAGGCTGCTTCTTCTTCCACTGTGCTGCACTTTCTATTGATGGAGTGAGTATTAAGGATGCCCAAATATGGTAACGGGCTTCTGCCAGGGCTGAGATCATGGTGGCAAGCGGTGCCTGCTCTTTTGCACAACGTTTGAGAAACTCGGGATTGCCGAAACCCTGGCCCACCTCCTTTTCAAATACCTGGACAGGACTGGACAGAACGATTTAGCAAAATTGCCAGTTTATAAAAAAAAAAAAAAGCAGCAGAGGCTTTCTGTTGGCAACTGCTGCTTGTTACAATTCATAGTCAAATTTTCATCCTGATTTTACATTCGTGTTTCTGCTATAATCACTTAGCTGTGCCCTTGGTGACAAGAAAACATCTCCCATGGTATAATTTAGATAATCAGAGTAAATCCACTGGATAAGGAAAGTTTAAACACAACAATGAAACTATTGAAATATTTTTTTTTAAAAAAACCCTTCCTCCCACTTTTAAAATGAATGCTTAAAAAATTGCCACATCAGAGTTCTGAAATGTCAAGAATTTCTCTCCTTTCTAGCATTGACTAAGGCCAGGCGTTGCTCAGTATTCGGCGATTGCTTGTTCTTTTGCATCAAGGATGGAGGATGATTTTTTTGCTGAAGATTTAACCTACCTGAAAAGTCTTTTTCCTGGATGATCCTTGAGCAAAAGACCAGTTGGAACACTTTCAGCTGGCCTATGGGAAAATAAGAATTCTGCGTAATCTCGCATTCCTTCATGGCATTTGAGGGAATTGCTTTGTACCAAATCCTTCTAGAACCCAGAAAAAATAAAAATTCTTTGAAGCAGGCAGTACCAGCTTCTGCCACAGAAACAGCTGCAGCTGAGGGTCAAGGAGACAGGCCGCAGTGCAAAATAGACGTCTTCGTTTTCCTGTGGTTCCTTTTTGTGAATATTTTGTTTAGGGGATACAAGTCAGCATCCCTTAAATTCATGAATTGATCATGAAATTGATTAGATAGAGTTTTGAAAGACTTTTTTGGGAAAGACTGTAAAAACACCAAACTTTCCACCAGGACAAAAATCTGATCAGTGTAATAGAACTTTTCCTTTCACCGAACCTATTTATTACCATTGATTGAATATTTACTACATGTCACCCCCTGGAATAAGTGTTTAGCTTGTTTAAATCTTGTAGTAACCATGTAATGAAGATACTATTTCCACCTTTCATTTTACACATGAAGAGACTGAGAGTCTGATGGGTTAAACCAATTTGCTCACATAGCTGGGAAGGAAGAGATTTAGGGTTCAAACTAGGACTTCAACACAGTGAATCATAATCAGACGAGGTATACTACAACCTTTTAGAAGTCTGATGTTAAAGATAGGATTATTATTGTCAGAACTCTAAAGAGAGTCATATTTTAAAAATGGAGAATTCATAATGAGAAATTGTTGTTATGTGCCATCAAGTCACCAGTGACTCATAGCGACCCTATGTACTACAGCTCTGAAGCCTGCCCTGTCCTGAGCCAGTCTCACTGACTCCAACACACCTAAGCCCTTTGCCCCAGCTACTGTATCAATCCATCTCATCTGGGTTCTTCTTCTCCTGTGCTATTCCTCCTCCCTTCCAAGCATGATGTCCTTCTCAAGGACTGGTCTCTTCTGGCCACGTGCCCAAAGTATGTGAGACAGAGTTTCAAAACCCTAGCTTCCAAGGAGAAATATAGTTTCCCCCTCTCCAAGACAGACTTACTTGTTTTATTTGTGGTCCATGGTATGTTCAAGAATCTTCTCCAGCACCACAACTCTAAGGCATCAGTCCTTCTTCTATAATCCTTAGTTATTGTCCAGTTCTCAGATGCATCGCAAGTGATTGTGAAGACCATGGTCTGTATCTTAGTGTTGCAGACCGAGGGTCCCAAAGAATGAAATAATTTTATAATTATTAATAATGAGACAAACAGCCAGGAATGAGATAGAGCAGAGAGCATAAAACAGGGGGTCAGTAGTTCTCCACTGAAGACCCCAAGCCAAGCTTCTCTGTATCTTTATTGAATATGATCAGGAAGTAAATCACAAAGAGAATTCAATGCAAATGAAGCCAAGCTCTTTCTATTGAAAACCTTCTGCACAAAAGAAGGTAGAAATAAACCTCCACCAGGATTGTGTAAAAGATGTGGTAAAGGAAGACATTGCTTTAATGAATGTCTATCTGTTAAAGACAAAGATAGAAATTGGATAGGGAAGCAGGGAAATCGACGGAGGGGCCAGGCTCGCCCTCCCTCCCCCCAACAAACCAGGTCAACTTACTCAGTGCCATCCCTAACAAAATGTATCCTGTGAACAATGGGGAAATGGAATAGGAAATGAACAGTTAAATAAACATCAAATGAAAATTGCAGATTTATTTCATGATACATCTAAAAGCGCAGCTCTAGATATACCTTTGCTAAAAACGTTGTTTTTAGTCCCACAGGTAGGGGTTTACCAGATACATACTAATATATCTGTCCCAATTCCAGAAAATTCTGTTGGAATAATTATAGGGAGGAGCCATGCTACTATGAGAGGAATCAATGTACATGTGGGAATAACTGATGAGGATCATTTAGGAGAGATAATATTAATGGTATCAGTGAATAAAGTTATTCAATTAGAAAAAGGAAAAAAAAACCCTTCTGCTTGACTCAGGAGAGAGGGGTTCACAAATGCAAGAATTTGGTTTACCCTTAAGGATTGCCTTGATGCCTCAGGGTGAACTCTAGCTCAGGAAGTAACACTTCCTCTGTAGGGGGCCCCTTGCTGTCTCCTGTCTGCAGGGAATAAACAGCTCATTTTCTATGATCTGCCACAAGAGAAATCCTAACTTATATCTCTGTAATTCCTTCAATTCCTGAACAAGGATTTTCATATAGTATTTGGTATAAAGTCTGGCTTCCTATATTTCCCCCCTTTTGTTTTTATCATAATTATGTTATCATCTAGACTAGCATCTTCTCTTCTTTGATTCACTCTTGCTTGTTTTGGTTTTCTCCATCCTTCATATACAAACAAACAAATAAAACAGATTAAACATAATAAACTCAAAGAAATACTTTTAAAAATCTTCATATGATCAGAAGGATTCAGTTTGGATATTCCTTGAAAATCTGTTTTAATTGTCTCATTGTCACAGTGCTTGTCAAAACCAGTTCTGATTAATCTCCTTTGTTGGCATGTCCTTTGCCATTCCCTATTACTCCTCCCTGAGAAATCTTAGACCTTAGACTGACATCGTCGTTGCTTTTCAATTCTTGGGCGAGGTCCTTGACAGAAGATTTTCCTAGTGAAATTTTTTTTGGATTCCTAACTGCTGGTGCCAAGAGTGTTGATTGTGGAGCCAAGCAAGCTGAAATTGTTAACAACTTTAATCTCTTCTCCATCTATTATAGTGCTGCCATTTGGGCCAGTAATAAGTGTCTTTGTCTTCTTGATGTTAAACTTCAATCCACATTGAAGACTATAGTCCTTGGCCTTCTGCAAATATAATTGAAAATTCAGGAATAAATCAATCCACCTATGGACAGTTATCTGAATAGAGCAAAGGAACGCATGCTCTGTTTAAAATCAAGAAAGGTGTTGAAGGGGCAGCAGAAACCCCATTTTTTTATAAACCCCCATTAGCGCTGGAGGCAGAAGCGGGCCATAAAAATTCTTGGCTTAGGGCAAACACGAGTGCCGAGTGCCCCGGGTAAAGCCCAGTCTGTCCTTTAAGAAGTAAGGAATTAACTAGTGTCTACGTGACACAAAAAGAGTAAAGGCAGGCAAAGTAACCAGCCCATCAAAAGCCGACCAAGGGGTGTGTGCGTATGCGTACACGTGGGTGTGTGCGTATGCGTACACGTGGGTGTGTGCGTATGCGTACACGTGGGTGTGTGCGTATGCGTGCACGTGAGTGACTGGGAGATTAGGTATAAAAAATTATGTCCTGTAACCATTGACTGAATAACACCTAGATTTAATACGAGCTCGAAGAACATTTTCATGTTGGGTCTGGCTTCAATCAATTTGACTGTATTAAGTGAGGAGAAGGAGGAAATGAACATGGACACAACTGAGATCAGACCTGAAAATGAGGTTCCAGAGCCCCCCATGCCTATTGCAGACCAAGTCAGCAATGATGACCGCCCTGAGGGTAGTGCTGAAGATGAGAAGAAAGAGAGCTTGCTGCCTAAATCATTCAAGAGGAAGATCTCCGTTGTCTCAGCTACCAAGGGGGTGCCAGCTGGAAACAGTGACACAGAGGGGGCCAGCCTGGTCGGAAACGACGTTGGGGAGCCAGCACAGCCACGACACAGAAGAGACCCTCCATCAGTATCACCACTGAATCACTCAAGAGGCCTCATCCCCGACATCAAACCCCTGGCGGGGCAGGAGGCTGTTGTGGATCTTCATGCTGATGATCCCCGCGTCTCTGAGGATGAAACGGAACGAAATGGTGATGATGGGACCCATGACAAGGGGCTGAAGATTTGCCGAACAGTCACCCAGGTAGTACCTGCAGAGGGCCAAGAGAATGGGCAGAGAGAAGAGGAGGAAGAAGAAAAGGAGCCTGAAACAGAACCCCCTGTAGCTCCCCAGGTTTCAGTAGAGGTTGCATTACCACCGCCTGTAGAGCATGAAGTAAAGAAAGTGACTTTAGGAGATACCTTAACTCGACGTTCCATTAGTCAGCAGAAGTCTGGAGTTTCCATTACAATTGATGATCCTGTCAGAACTGCTCAGGTTCCCTCCCCACCCCGGGGCAAGATCAGTAATACAGTCCATATCTCCAATTTGGTTCGTCCTTTTACTCTAGGCCAACTGAAGGAATTGTTGGGACGTACAGGAACCTTAGTGGAAGAGGACTTCTGGATTGACGAGATTAAATCTCACTGCTTTGTAAGGTACTCAACAGTAGAAGAAGCCGTTGCCACCCGCACAGCTCTACATGGAGTCAAGTGGCCTCAGTCCAATCCCAAATTCCTTTGTGCTGACTATGCTGAGCAAGATGAGCTGGACTATCACCGGGGCCTTTTGGTGGATCGTCCCTCTGAAACTAAGACAAAGGAGAAGGGAACCCCAAGGCCCCTACACCGTCCGCCCCCACCCCCAGCTCAGCCACCACAGCACCCCAGGGCAGAGCAACGGGAGCAGGAACGGGTTATGCGGGAACAGTGGGCAGAGCGTGAACGGGAAATAGAGCGGCGGGAACGAACTCGATCAGAGCGAGAATGGGATCGGGACAAAGTTCGAGAAGGTCCACGTTTTCGATCACGGTCTCGTGACCGCCGCCGAAAGGAATGTGCAAAATCTAAGGAAAAGAAGAGTGAGAAGAAAGAGAAAGCCCAGGAGGAACCTCCTGCCAAGCTGCTAGATGACCTTTTCCGAAAGACCAAAGCAGCCCCTTGCATCTATTGGCTT